TCCTTTTTTTTTAAATATTACAAGCCTTGCATATGAATTTTTTCATATGACACTCGTGATCTGTCACTACTCGTAGAAAAAATAATGTGTAGTTTTGTGCGGTTGTTTTTTATGATTTCCATGCTCCGAAGTAATAGTTAAAAGAAAAACCATCGTTATCAGCTTTACAACGAAGAAGAGAGAGAACAATATTTTGTGACTTGTGATGCCTCCGTTATGTTGCTCCGAATACCTTTGTTCGTGTTTATAACGATTCACAATCAAATCACCGTCAATTCACAAACAATTTGTTATGACAATTCACAATAGTTGTGGCGGCAACTGTCTAACTGTCTAAATTATCACATTACCACAATCATAGTTAACTAATACGTAGCAACATTTTTAAAATATTCGAAATCAATTGCAAATGTGTAGAAGGTTGTGCTGCATTGCGAATAGTGAAGGATGGAAGGATTAGTTGTGTCGTTTAATGGAACGACTATAGTGATAGCAATTTTACGTGGGTATAATGGAGTTGATGTGGCCGTTCCACGTACTCTAAAGTCATCCCTAAGTATAAAAATAATCCTTAGCGATGTGCATAAAACTGTTTATAGATTTTTTATCATTGTCTCACAATGTGCGTATGAAATTGTAATTGAAAGCAAAACCTATCCAAAATAAAAAAAATAAGAAAATTATTTTCAGTTATGGTCGAAACTTTTATTCCCATTACAATTATCCTAAAAAGAAAAAGAACTAAATTTTCATACTCTATAACGTTGTGTAGGCGTGGACGATTTTTTCTATTCTCGGAATAAGAGTCTGCTGTAGTTTATGCGTAACAAGCGAAAAATACGACAGATACAAGTGTTCATAGTTTTTGTTACATAGGCGTGTGGGCATTGTGAACGTCCTTTGGTCTTTGTCGGGCTTTGGTCATTTTTAAATCCTTTCGCAAATTTGTAGGCGACATCTTTATATTTGCAAACGGAAGAATGTTTACTACTACAGATACAATTGAACAGACAAACTAATGGACAGACGGACATACTTAGAATTCTAAGAATTTATTAACTTTACAGGGGTTTTTGGAGCTTGTTTCTGGTAAGGTAAAAAATGAAATTTTGATCCACTATACCAATGGTTAAGCGTGGTTAATCTTTTTCATTTTTGTATTAAAGCCTCAGCAGCGCCCATATAATACGCATTCAAATTTTTGTATCTGCTGCTATGAGTAATGACCGAAAAACGACTGTAGTTGTGTTTCTCGACCGAATTGGTTCATTCTCAATACCCGCCTGAGTGCAAGAACTTCCAATGGTTGAAGTCGACAGCTTTACTTTTGCGCCCTGGAGAACGTCGGCCACGCCCGATTATTAAGTAGCCGACACCACTTCGCTTAATACGTTTATCCATGTGACGACTTTTTAAAATGGGACATGTCAGAAGTGGTTGAAAAATTGGTTCTATCCGAATCATTTTCAATAGCATTCGGCCCTAGGCCAAAACTCGCCAGTGTACCATACTCCAGCAAAATATACAAAAATTGCGATCTGTCGATTGAACACAAAAAAGCAGAAGGACAGCTGGACAGACAGGCAAACGTACTAAGTGTTTGAGAATCGACCAGTATAATAAAACGCAGGTGTCTCTCAACTCCTTCGGACAATTGCAACATTAACTTAATATACCCTGTGCAAAGTGTGGTGTAGGGTATATTCATTACAGGCTAAGCATTTATGTCTATTCGCTAATTATTTAATTTCACTTTCACACTTCATTGCAGATAGATATTTGCTTTTAGATCATTTGGTTTCTCTTTGAAGTCCTCTGTGCAGATTGGATAGCAGTCAAGACACGTCAAAAAGCTGCGCGAGCAAATATTATGTAAAACACTTTAAGAAATGGTTGTTAGCAAAACGCAGGGATTTCAGATTTTCAACATAACGGCAATGTATGAACCAATGTAAGACGAAGACAGAAGTAAGACGAAGAAGCTAAAATATCAAGATCAAGATCTACACCAACTCTATAATACAGCAACAAGCACACGCGACGGCATACACGCACACACATACACATACACGCACCTAAATATTTTATCTAGATTTGTACACTCATAGAACAATTAATTCGTGTTCGCTTTACATTTGATAAAACTTGATCTATTATCTTAGTAGGTGAGAATAGGAAAGCGTAGAAAAGAGGTATGTTCGAAATCTGAATCCCTTGGGATATATAAAATAAATGTCAAAAATATGCTAATCAATATACCAAACGAAACCACTTTACAAAACATGAACAATTAATTTGATCACGTTTTAAAGGTTGTTTCAAGGCATTTGTGCAGATAAACGTACCGCCAGGAAGACTTGAGATAAACCCATCTTTTATTATACCGATCGATTAAGAATCATTTACTGAATCGTTTTACGCTTGGCTGTCCGTCCGTCCATCTTGTTGTCTTGTGTGGAACCGACAAATGTAAGGTATCTTGATGAAATATGACCTATCGACCTGTTTTGGTGCAAGGATTGGACCTATTTCTGCACCACCACTTCCCAGATAACGCCTTATTATGAAAAGTTGCTATGCGAATGAATTATTGTAGGGTGGTGTACGATATTTTATGGTGAGCTGCGGCCCACTACAGCCTTTCTACTTTGTTTTTTCTTTTGATTGCTTAAACTTCTTAACTATTCTAGCCGTTTTCCTTGGATTGGGCTCACTATTTTGAAGTCAACTTAGCACAATTGGTTCGACTTTGCTCTTCGTTTTCATGCTTATGACATTGAATTGGTCGGACTATACCACACTTTTTAAGTCTCTATGGTTTATGAGTTGTGCATAGGGATTTGAGAGTTTAGTAGAATTCTTCTCCTAACAGCGAATACGTGTCACCATAAATTTATTTAAATGAATTGATTAACTATCACGCTTGCCTTGTTGAAATATAAAATAAATGCAACTTTTATTGAAATTTATTTCGTTTGCTTTCTGTAAGCAGAGTGAAACACGTAATATCATCTTAATTGAGAAGAAAAAGAAGAAATGAGTCGTCAGCGTCATCAACGATAAAAATTTTGCATAGTTTGCATTACGCAATGAGATGGAAACCTAATAACCATTCTTATGATGATGTCCATCCGTAGGACTTCTTAAATACTTTACTTACTATTCGGGACTAAAGCAACCATTTCCAGTTGTCCCCGCTACTGCTGCTGCTGCGGCTGCTGCTGCTGCTGCATTTACTGCGTTTGGTGTTAATATTTCCAAAGCGATGTCGTTCATAATCGTGCATTCATAGCTGGGTTGGAATTTCTCTTGCTCCGATTGTGGACGTTTTTGTATTTTTTCTCGATCTTGTTTATGTTTGCGATCAGCGCCTTTTAATTTGAAAACCTGGCAAAAAAAAGAAAGGCAAAGGAAATGAAAAGAGAAAATGATTTACAATTTTCTTATCTCTTATCCTAATTTTTTTTTTTTTTGTGTTTTTCTTTCCTTGACTAACCTTAATTTGACAAGCGGCTGCATGTATGGGCTGCTTTATAGCACCACTACCACCATTTGCACCTCCCCCAATGTTAAGTGCATTAGCTAATGTTTGTAAGCCATTGCTAGTGGGTGTTATATTACCTACCTGCGTTGGCGATTGACCGGCCGCCATTGGTAGCGGCGATAACGGCGCCGGCGTAGGTGGCGTCTTTGGTCCAATTGTCGTATTAGTATTTGTATTTTCTATATAAGTTTCTATTTGCAAACGAAAAGGTACACCTTTTTCGCCGCCGTGTTTCTTTGGCGTAAACTCGGTTGATATGCAATTGACTTTAATGTAAACACCAACTTCTTTCATGGGATCCCAGAAAATTTCCACAGTATTTAAATAATTCGGATTCAATGACTGATTGACATGACAGAGACCATAAGATAGAGGAACATCGACTTCAATGATCCGTTCGCCGGGACGTGAAGCCTGCCATTGTTGCATTTGCTCACGTTCCATGAATTGTAAACGACGTTCGTGGAAACATATCTTAATGACACTCTGAAAATAAATTTTGTTTTTCTCAATTAGAAGTGACCTCGTTAATCAAGAAGACGAAAAAAAAAAGCCCATCATAAGGCATTTCGAGCGAAACATGTAATATTTTGTTTTGTTTGCTTCACCACCATTGGATCTTGAGCTCCCAGGCCATGTAGAAACAATTCTTTGCAATTAAGGCATATTAAAATCAATTAAAGTGTAATATAAATAAATGTTTAAATTCCAAGAGAGTACCAATGCATATATATATGTATATATATATATATATATACATATGTATAAATACACGTTATTTATGAAAAATATTTATCTTCTGGGGTAAATTAATTCGACTTCTATTCATTTTTATTTTCATTTCTTCTTCACTGCTTCCATTATATTTTTTTTTCTTCCCTCATTTATTCATTGATAAGGAATAAATATACAGTTCTATAAGAACATTATCGACGTATGTTGTTGTCCGTCTCCCGATACTGTTATGTCTCTCAGTATTATTTCCTGGTCCTTACTTCGCGTTGCTGGTTTGTTGTGCGGTTGTGTCATGTGTGCGTGTTTGTCTTTCTTTCGCTTTAAAATCTTTACCCATCTTTCACTTATCTATTTTTTGGTAAACTTGTTAGTAGCAAGTTGAGCCTATCTAGTATCTATCATTGCAATCACATTTACTACTTACCACTCTTCTTCTTCTAACTTCTCTGAAGTTAACTTAAATGCCTTTATTTATATTTTTTTTTAAATCTATTAAGCGATCGATTAGCTTCTGCGAAAATGCATTAAATGCAAGCGTCTAAATCTTAACTACATTTTTTAATCGGGTCATTTTTTATCTGTTGCGAACTTCTCGAAAGCGAAGCAATCTAAGTACCTGTACTGTAAAGGATATCTCACCTCGATGGATGAGATGGTGCAATCTGTTCAGGAGTAGTTTTTGTCTGGCTACGCAATCTCATGTGACCATTCGTCTACGAACGGTGACTTTAAAATTTTGTTTTACCATATTCTTCATATATGTGTAACATTCATTGGCTATTTTTAATATGTTACATTATAAAGGGTCAGCGAAAATGTTTGCAATAGAAAGTAATATATTTAACCACATATATATATATAAAAGTTCAGATGGTCGGAGGTTGTAACGGATAAACGCACATGTTCTTGTAAAGCTTGCTAGTTCGGCAGTAATGGATGAGTTACTCGCGCGGAAATCCTCAAGGACACAAACGGACAATCGAAAATTTCTTATCGGACGGCCTGATGTCATGCTGTGGGCAATGCGACACCCTGCCCTATCTGCGGTCTCCTTGGGCCATAATTTCGTGTGGAAAACTCCGGCAAACCAGCCTATCAATGCAAATGCTAGAATCGTAGTTCCTGCCTACCGGGACAACAGCAAAACAAAAATGTTTGTCAACTAGTGTAATAGATGCTATCGCTTCTTCTTCTCAATAGACAGCTTAAGAGGTTAACTACACCGAAACTTTGGTAATAAACTGTTACGAAAATCACAAGTTAGGTAAAACGTGACTGCATGGGTATTAAGCGATCTTCTAAGGGTTCTAGATTGTAAAAATGTTAGAACGAAGTATAGACTCGTGATGTTGCACCCATCGACGCAGCTGGCGATTCCCGAAGAAGATTAAGAACAATTCGCAAAGGTAAAGAGGGATTAGCATGAAAGTGTCACAAGAAAATTTCATGTTTGTTAACTCGCCTGTAAAAGGGTCTGTAAGCAGAATATTATGCTAAAATTAGCCGAGTCATAATATTGATACGAACCAGACCAAAAGAAGCATTGTCAATATAAGTTCCGTTAAATAATCAGTAAATGGATCTCGTAAGAATTCTAAATAAGACATACGTTAACCTAACAAAAGGCGTCGGATGCAAACTTAAAGCCAAACATGTCATTATGGATAACAATATATTAACTTTATTACGTACTGTAGCGTATGGAAAAGGCGACAGTTCCTACATTAAAAAGGCAGCAAAATATCGAAAGTAATTGAAAAGTTCGTTGATTTCATACTACCATTACTAAGGAGGCGCCAAGATTGCGTAGGCGTTTCGTGTGCATAGCGAAGAAGCTTTATCAACATCAGTAAAACGGAAACGGATTGTTCCTCCCTCGGGAAAGATCGATTTTGCAGACGAGGCGGAGTCTGATCGTCTGAACCGGTGATAAAATTGAAAAAATTCTTAAACAAATTTGAAAGCTTCGACGTTTATGACATTGCTTCAAAAGTCACTTTTGAATGGGATAAAGGGAAATACTCGACATTTGGGTAGGACATGAATTAAAACTAAAGAATACTACGAGCCGAGTTTTCACTTGAAAATCGCAGCTAAAACGCAATGAAATACGGCCATGGTTTGACGAGATTCATTGCGGGCGTCGAATAATGGATCCCATATGGCGAAACTGTACGAGAAAAATGCAGACAAAGTGGCATAAACAATGTCAAAGCCCAGGTTGACACCGCATAAAATAGAGCTCGGTTTTCGACGGGAACTGCTCAAACTTGGTTAGTTGACTGATTTCATACTTTACTGGCAAAAAGTAATTGGATTAAAGCGGATAATCGATAGAAAGCATTCAGGCTTCATCGGGGTTTTAAACTCGCGAACAGTGACTTGGCGGTCGGGCTTCTTCCGGCTTCATTCGTGGATACGTGCTTTCTCTTACACTTGTAAACAGAAAAATGGGTGCGAGGTCTGCTTTTCAGTTCTACCTCGTAGAAATTGTACAGGATAGCTTCCACGAAGCTCACATAACTTTTCACATATCGTAAAGTTGTTCAAAATCAATTCTTGGAGTTCTACCTGAGCTAGATCTAGCAGTAAAAATTTGACGGCTTTTATGTTACATTCGTAACTTTTTAACCTGGATAGTGAAATAGGTGCGTCGTCTTTGAAGTTGCGAAAAGCAAACTGTTTTGCAAAATTTTGTTGCAAAGGTGGATTGTATCGTGTTTCCTAAGAAGAAAATACAATACGGGAATTAATGTTTATGACAATATTAGATAGGTCCAGCACATCATTGTGGCCAGGAAGACGGATGGCCAAGTCATCAGCTTTGAAATCTGAAAAACACGTACAAATTTATGGCCGCATCATAAGGTCGGTCACATAACTCTGTCACGAGTGCTTTAAACCGCCCAAAAAAGTGTTGAGAGGCGCGGCTTCTTCTGCTTCCGATAATCGCATAATAATTTTAGCAAAGCGTGTACCCTTAAAGTCGTCTGGAGCAATTTTCAATGAAATTGGAGATGTTGTCTCACCGCGAACGGTTCGCCCGTGTTTATTAGGTGCCTATCTACAGGGAAGAATAGTTTAAAGAGTTCTCTTGCTTCGAAAAGTTAATTTGGAGAGGGGGAAAAACTTTACTTTAGCTTGCTAGTCAAGTATTGATGGGCAAGAGAAGAGAGAGAGAATTGGTGGAAAATAATTCCACGCAAGATTTATTAGAAGAACAGCGAACCATGTTGGGCTGCTTTTCTTGAGAGTATATTGGTCTAATAAATCTCAGAAAACACTATGCTTAGATTCATGTACAAAAATTTATTGAAAACTGTAATGTTACCGCATGGCAAAGTAATGCTATGGAAATTCTAGTAAGGTGTCATTGTATGGACGGGTCAATCTGGGAGGGGGGACTAAATCGTCATGTTTCGTGTAGCAATAAGAAAGCATTGAAAAACTTCGAAAGCGTTACAAAACAAAGTTGATTTCAAATATTTGCTAGCAATGACTGCAACGAAAGCAGTGTTCACTTGTTGTTGGCTATGAATTTTTGTAAAGTGTTTCTCTTTAAGTTTTACTTACCTTTAATATTTTATCGCGATAGAATGATAAATCGCCAATTTTTTTCAATTTGATCTCATAGCTTTGGCCCTGATTCAAATAAGTAAGAGTGTCCTCATTATTTTTTGTGGCGATCGAGGTGGCCGCAGCTAATATATACTGAAATCTAAGAATTATGCAAACACAATATTCGAGAGGTTCGAACGAAACGATCAACAGAGACTCACTTATAGTCATCGGTATTAACGGAGGAATTTGTCGTTGTGTCAGCTGTAGTTGCACCATGATTTGTAGTAGCAGTGTTAGCAGCAGTGTTGCCAGTAGATGCAGCATTTTGTTCAATTTTACTGCTCCCAACTATGGTCAAAAGTTGATGTGGTATTCCCGTACTGAGACGACCTAAACAATTATATTGCAGCATATATTATAAGATACCGTATCGAAATGTTTATTTAAAATATTTTTATTGTTAATAATAAAAGGATTTTTTTAACGCTTAAGCTGATCACCATTTAGCAATGAACTGAATGAAAAGCATATAAAATAAGTATAGACTATAAGTGCCTTTTTACTGCTCTCGTTTCGAACCGTTAATATAACAATAAATTAACATTTTCACTACCTGACTCACAGTTGATTTTAGTTTGATGGGCCATGCAGCTAAGTTCGAAACGTGTACAGTAAAGTTTGTTAAATTTAAATTTAAAAAAGATTTCATAATATTTACCGGGATCAAGAATATTATTAGTCTTATCTTGATTAACATTCTCCTCCGCTAATTGTCCATTAGTGTTAGTATTATTTTGAGGTGAACTACAAACGCAATGATCCGTTTTATGTTTTTGTATTGCCGTTGTGGTTATGGCTGACGAAGACGATGATTCCTGTTGATTAGTGATCTTTTCATTTTTTGAACCATTTATTCCAACGGAATTTTGTAAAGTATTCAGTGATGTCTTACTAATTTTCAAATGCTCAGTTTGCGGCTCTTGCTTTAAAACCGTTAAACCCGGTGAAAATGGCATAAACGATTCACTTGAAAATTATGCAAACATATTAGGATTAAATAGATTCTTGAAGAGGGAATTTTACTCAATTAAACGATTGATTCGGTCATATGCCTCAATCTTTCATTTAGAAAGTCTTAAACGAAAGATGAATGGATCTGTAACCGAAAATTTCGAAACTGGTACCGGCCTATGATTCTTGATTTCGAGTAAATTCGACAGCAAGGTATGCATTTTCCTTATTAACGAATGGAAAATGTTTCGAGAGACATATTCAAATTACGATCGAATTAACTCGATATCGAGAACCAGAAACCGTCCATTTTATCTCTAAAATGAAGAAAGTTTAACTTACTTGTTAATGTAAGAATTAGTGTTGAAGTCGGCATTTAAATCGAAACCCAAATCGTCACTCCAGGTAGAGCGACCTAAAATGTATACGTATATAAGCATAAATAGATTAGATATCGATTTGACGCGAATGAAATTTCAGTTTTCTCTTTATTTCCCATTTTCCAATTAGTTAGAAACTAAATAATAGTTACTATGATTAATTTTGTTTTCGTTATTTCTCCGTTCGGAAATTTTTTTCTGGTCAATCTAGCAGGTAAAAATATTATGCAATTAAAGCTTTTTTCCGCGCACAGGTTGTTGGGCCAGTGTACTGGCCATAAATTCACAGGCAACTATTAATGAAAATGTTTTTACTTCTCTTTAGATCTTATTCCACTTGCAATATAAACGAATGTATGCGATACTGAGGAAGATTTGACATAAATCTAGCTGCTCTTACGCCGATCTGTCCGTCCGTCTTGTTTTCTTGTGTACAACCTACGCACAATTTTTGAGATATTTTGATAAAGGACTCGAGCTAGATCCACCCTCCTTTTTGGGACTCAGCTTGTCCGTCCGTCCGTCTTATTTTCTTGTTTTCAACCTACTGGTCACAATTTTTGAGATATTTTAATGAAGTTTGCGCGGATGTATGCAACAGCCAGAAGGACTTAAGCTAGATCCACTAACATTAAACTTGCCTGTCCGTCCGTCTTGTTTTCAAGTGTTTAGTTTCAGCAATACAGTTTGCAATTTCTAAGATATTTTGATGAAATTTGGCATAAAAGTGCGATTTGGGTCAAGGACCACTCTTCTTGAGAATAGATCGGAACGAGCCACTTTTTCAATCACATTGTATATAAAGCTTTATTTTCAAAAGTCATTGCATGTGATAACTGTTGGGATGTGTAGAGTAATTAATGGTGGGCCGTGGCCTACTGTGGTGCTTAGGAGCAGATAAAAAGGGTTAAAAAAAGCACAAATGCTTAGGAATCGAACCTTACGAACGGATTAAGACGAAGAATTTTTTCATTCACTCTGTTGACAATTTTTCTTCGCTACGTAATATAACGGATGCAAACGCGGCCTCGCAGATTATATCGGCAACACGCGAACTTCTCAATGTTACAAACGTGACGATCACATTAGTGGACTTACAAAAAATAATAAAAATCACTTTGAATTGAATCGAGAGGTTCTAGGCTGCTTTAGATTAACTGCGTACTTCGCAGTGAAAACAATTTAGTTCTTTTTTATTCATGCTTTCCATAAAAGCAAAACTCTTGTTACGATGAAATCACTCTTTCTTCTACAATTGCTATTCATGTTCGTAAAGTTTTAACCATTCTTAAAGGCATATTTTTAAGTATTTACAGCACTTGTTGTGCTCGTTAAAGTGTTGAAGATTAAATAGATATCTTTAATCTGCTTTGCACTCGGCAGAGATACAGAGATAAATTTATGAAGAACTGAGAGTGAAGTAAAAGTGAATCGATGAAGCTTTAAACATTCAAAATCAATAATCAATCCTAAGCAAAAGCTTTACGTACCTGCAAAAGTATTCTGATAACGACAAATTCGTCGATTATTAATATAATTATTATTGTTATTGTTATTGTTATTATTGTTATCAAAATTTGTAAACGAATTATTCATTTTATTGGTTTAAAGTTCTTAAGCGACGTCATCCGGACGATATTTGTTATTTTATAAATGAGTAGCATTTCTATTCGGTTAGTTGCATCCTTAAAGGAAAATGTTAATAACTATTTCACGATTTATTTTATGTGATTTTCATAAATTATTTATTATTTCATTAAATTATTTACCCCAATTATTAGTACTCTGTGCAATTTGTTGAACATTCGTAATGCAACTGAAATTTTTAGTGTCTGCCTGTCATTTTTGATAATAAAAAATTCAACCAACCAAAAAAAAAAAACAACAAAATTAATAAATAAAAAAAAAAAGAAAAACAAAACAGTGAAAAGGAAATTGAAACACAAAAAAAAAAAAAATTGATTATAAAAATCCAATAAAGTGCAAAACGTTTCTTTCCCTAAGTATAGAAAATGTTATAATTTACAATTAATTTAGACAACGCTTGATAATTTTTCTAATCTTACAAAAGTAAAAATCATATACGAATTTATGTATGTATGTATGTATGCATGCATGCATGTATGTTCATATGTATATGTATTTAGTGAATATTTAAACTTTTTGCCTACATTTGTAACAAACGGCTAATGAATGAAAACAAGAAAAAGATAACTTAAAACAAATTTTCATGCCCAGCACTGTTAAATAGAAAAATATTAATTTCCCCGATCGGTTTGAAACGCCCACGTTTCACTTTAGGTATGGTTAATAGGAAATTTCCTTTCATTATGGCTTACACCAGTTGTGGTACAAGGGTACATTAAGTTCAAGTGTGGATGTATGTAATACCCAGAAAGTATTGAGAAAGATTCAAGTAAGCTTGTCCGTCCGTCTCTTCATTCAATTTTTGACATATTTTTCAATGAAATTTTGCACATCGATCTGTTTTGGCCAAAAGGCGAATTACGGCTTTCCAACTCGGCCTGTTGATTTTCACACGACTTGTGGGACGTATGCAATACACCATTCACACACAATTCCGGATCACTTTTTAAAGCGATCTAAGCTTGATCGCCCGCTTGTCTCTGTTATATTCTTGCGATGAACCTACAGGTCGCAATTTTTGTGATATTTTGATGAAATTTCGCACGTCAGCCTGGCTTGCCTCAAGGACGAACGCTTTGACCATTTTTTCGACAATTTCCTATATAATGCCTAATTTTGAGAAGTTGTCATATGAGCGAGTTTGGATAAACGTACATAGGCATCGGTTTTTCAGCCCGTTTTTATACACTTCACCATTTGTCATACAAGGGTATATTAAGTTTGTACAGATATATGCCGACCACTTTTATCTCTTTACACATTAACAATCAATATACAATATTGTCAACGTTGTCCCCTTGAAAGCAGCAGCGACAACTTGGACAAAGTAGATTTAAAAATTAATTTGATGACTGACGAACGGGCCTTAGTAGTAGCGGCAATCGCTAGTGTAATTTGAGAAGATGCTCCGCTTGATAACAATTTTAATGAACGATTTGTGAAATATATTTTTTAATAAATATATATCGATGGTAATTGATTTCTTTGCAGTTTCACTTTGTGACCCAAATGAAAGTTTATCAGTTTAGTGTTCAATAAAGTAACTAATGATGATGAGAAGCAATATTAATAATTAATTGATAGATTTAAAATGTAAGAAAGTTCGTTCGTGTTGAAACGGACAGAGTGAGTGGCCAACACATCGAAGCCGCCAGGAGATAAACAATTACAACAATTTTATTAGACGTGACCAGATGAGTGCGGTCGACATTTAAAATGTCCAAGAGTTTTGTGCCAAATTTCAGATCAGTATCTATAGAAAGATAGAATGGTATCCGTTAAGAGTGTCTTTAAAGTTTGATTCGTGGAACAGAGACAATAATACGCACAGGGGTCAAGCGACTATGACACATTCATAGGTGCAACAATGAAAGCGCACAAACGATTGAGACGGAAGATGAAACCTTATCAAGTGCAGTTGTACTTCATAATGCGTTTGGCTTTTCCAAACATAACATACGTCCATCCATCATCCTTTGGTGATAACAAAGACGAGCCAAGCTGATAATAACATTTAACTACAATCGAACGACCTATATACATATATATATATGATTGAATGCCCTAATATGATGGGTGATTTATAAATAAACTGAAACATTCAATAACTGAATACGAATATTGATAAAGACTTTTAATACGTAATTTGTAAACAGTACGCTATTTCCGTAAGGAAAAGAAAGACTTTCACAAGCCAAGGCAAACCAGGAACCAATTGCAGGATGTAGTATACTGTAGGATGTAATACCTGTACAAAATTGTTGGCTCTCTCTCTCTAATTGATTTGATGTTTAAAGCGTTAAAGCATAATTAAAGCAAGAGATCTCTTCCGCCTTCAATGCAGAGTTGATAGCCGCGTTTGTATAAAATTCAAATTTCCATTGTTTACAGTTTGACCAACACTACAGAAAGGAAACGTAAACGAATAGTGTTTAAGAAAGTTGCTGAGCATAGATTCAAGTAATAAAAAAAAAAAATGAATTTTGAAAGAAATGAAGAAATATTGAGATCTGTATCATAGTGGAGTCTACATTTAGTGAGGCCTTGAAAAATATTGAATTTTTGGTGATTGGTAAGCAAGTATTAAGACGCTCAAAACTTAACGGTCAGATTTAACTTATCGAAAATTTGTATTTAGCAGACATTATACTAAATCAACTAAGGAAGAAATTTCTGATAATTCTACGGTTATTAACATTTTTGTTGAAATTCTTATATAAAGTTCAAAGACGGTCGATTCGTCTCAAAGCGAACATAAATATCTAACTGATGATTGCTAGCAATGGCATCTTTAGAACAGGATACCAAGACTCTGATTGATCTTATTATTGACGTCACAAGGTTAATATATTATGTTTTAATGATCACTAACCTGAGTCATTTTGACATATCCATTTTGTTCACAATAAAAAGGGCTAGGAGTATCCCTCCGTGAAATAAAAAAATAGAGAGTGAATAATGAATAGGAATGAAAAGGATAGACAAAGAACTGATGAGTTTCATTATTTTATATATTGACGGCATTCTTACAAAAGGTTCAAAGTTACAATTACCGGATAGCTTAAGACCTCAGCGCTCAACAAAACCTAAGAAAATTATTTACACATTCATTCTGACAATAGATCTCTTCATAGGAGTATAGTGAACCTTTTACTCGCATTTTCTTTTTTTATTCAAGTGAAAAAGTGTCACATATCATACACGTTAGGTTTTAAAGAACCTAAGTGTGAAAACAATAGGTTGCATGTATTTCGGTCATTTGTTCACTTGAAAAAGGCTTTTATTCAAAAAAATTAGAACAATATAATCGGTTGGAGCGAAAGTTCTGTCGTATTTTATTCATGTACTTTGCTTTAACACAAACCCAAGAGATTTAATGTGATCTCCA